CCCCCACCTGGCCTGCCGGCTCACGTTTGTGGTTGTTTTTCCTGTGGAAGGGCAGGGCGTGGCGTTCGGCGTTCTCCTCCCCCTCCTCCTCAGCCAGGTGGGTGTGGGTGTAGTGGTAGCTGAGCCCCGGCCGGTTCTTATACCGTTTCCCACAGACTGGAGAGCAGGCGAGTGGGGAGGGCCGGTCAGCCCCGCCCCGCCCACGCTGCCTCCACCCTGGCCTCCAGGATCACGCCTCCCCCCTCTGCCAGAGCCGGGAGCCTCCCCCCACCCAGGGCCAGAACCGCAGGGCGAGGGCCATGAGGGGAGAGGTCTCTGGGCCCCTCTCTCCCTCTCTCTCTTTCCCCCTCTTCAGAAGGACTCACTATCACAGACATACGGCTTGTCTCGGTCCTCCAGGGAAGCGGTGTCCTGGCGTTTCCGGAGACCCCCGATGCCATATGCCTGGGGGGAATGTCAGGAGTTAGGGGCCAAGAAAGTGAGGAAATGGAGTAGTTGCATCATGTGGGCTTGTAAATCAAATTGCTGCTGTGCAAACTTTCTTGCTGTGGGGCCTGGAACCTCTCTGAGGTTCTGTTTTCTCATCTGTAACACAGGCATGAAGACAGTTCTAATCCACTGAGTCATCTGTTTTGCAAATGGCCTAAGTTTCCACATCCGTAAAGTGGGCATTAAATCCTCCACCCCTTCCGACTACTCTGGGAACTAAATGAGGTTAAACTTGCGGCAGGACTGGCCATTGTTCATGCTTAATAAGTGGGATCTGTCTCAGGCGGGAGGGGGGCAGAGGAGAAGCTTCTAGATGATACCTTTCCTTTGGCCCTGTTCTTCCTCCTGGGAATGTCATCCTCCAAGTCTTCCACCTCGAGATCATGCGGAAACTCCAGCAACTGCTGTTTCTGGGCACCAAGAGGAGGGAGATTGGGGTTCGGAAAGAGGGGGCACCGATCTGCTTTTGAGGGGTCTAGGCAGAGCTGAAACATGGGGAGGGGAGGCCAAGTCAGGAGTTCTTCCGAAAAGGAATGAGGTCAGTGAGGATGGAGACTCAGATGCCTGAAGGCCCTGGGGGGCCAGGGAAGGTTTCAGAGCAGGAACCTGATGTCCAGGGCAGGCAGCGGGGATAAGAGGAAGACCCGCAGCTGTGGTCCCCCCGGAAATGGGCCTACCTGGCAGTCCATAATGGTCTCCTCCTCCTTCAGCTCGATCTTCTTCTCCCCTGTCTCAGCACACAGCAGAGCCTCGAGGACTGGCCCTTCTGGGAGGCCACCCTCCTTCTTCAGGGGTGCCTCACAGTCTGGGGACAGGGTCATGGAAGGAGGTCAATGGAGAAGTTGTCCCTAGAGGACTCCTCAGACTGCCAGGTGGGGGGACCATGCTTTTGTGGGCGCGAAGAGGTTTTCCCACACTCATCCAGGAACAGAGGGAAGGATTCAACCACACACACTGGGAAGGACGCCCAGAGCCTGGAGAAGACACAGCCACACCCTCAGATCCACTCAGATGCCCAGAAGGAGACAAGGCCAGAACTTGGTACACCCAGACACCCTCAGAAAAGGGCACCATCAGACCACCTGGCACGCCCAGATCTATGCAGGGGAGACAGAGCCAGACCCTTGTATACACCTAGATCCACATGGAAGAGACCCCAGCCAAGCCCTAGATACACCCAGACAAATAGGAATCGATATACCCAAGTAGGACACATGGACACACACAGGGGAGACACTGACAGGCCATCTGAGACAGTCAGACATTCAAAGGAAGAGGCACAGCCAGATTCTCAGATATACTTAGGACACTCAAAGAGATCAAGCTCCTTGGATACACAAAGAGATACTCAGACAGTTAGACCAACAGATATACCTAGACCCACGTGGGGAAGACACAGCCAGATGACACACCTGCACACACATAGGGAGAGACACAGACATACCCAGGTGGGCACACACCGACACACACAGAGAAGCCAGCAGAGGAGTCAGACGCACACAGTAAGAGACACAGCCAGGTGGGCACTCTAGGACTCCTGGACACACACAGACCCTCGGATCCACCTGAGCAGAAGAGAAACAGCCAGTGTTCCCAGACACATTCAAGCAAGAAGCCCAGACACTCCTACAGGCCAGCACACACACGCGGAAACACACCTAATCCCCTGGACGCTGTGGGGCAAAGAGTCTTCCAGGCACTCCAAAGCAGTGGGACACTCACAGGGAGAGACAGCCAGAAGCCCTGATACACCCACTCTGATAGAGCAGACCCAGGGAGAAAGAGCCCTCTAAGACATGGGGAAACACCTGGGAACACTCGGACACACTCCTCCAAGAACAGCAAGAGTTCCGACCAGACACTGGCACGTGTGGACACACTCAGGGAGATAAAAATCTGGACATCCTCCGGCATCCACAGAAAAAAATACAGCCGGACACCCTGATACATCCGGCTCGCCGGGGAGAGTGCGCCGCCAGAGCCTCCACGCACCCGGACACACCTAGCAGACATCGCTGTGCCTTCCATTCCACCCGGGCACCTAGGCCCACGGAGGAGGGATACAGTCGGAGCTCAGTGACTCAGAGAAAGCTGCAGAACCTTGGGAATCCACCCAAGACACACATGGGCAGACACACAGCCAGCCACGCAGACACTCGCCGGAGACGGCCCGGCAATGCTGGTCACA